AAAGCCCACAAAGTGATGAAAAAGAAAAATGCAATGTGAAAAAAAAAAATATGTGTGTATATATATATATATATATATATATATATACACACATATTTTTCTTTTTCACATTGCATTTTTCTTTTTCATCACTTTGAGGGCTTTTGTAGCCTATAAGAAATAAGCTCATTATGAAATGCACAAAACATTGGTTTCACATTTTAAGTACTTCGATTTGTGCATATAAAATGTTTCCCAGCAGAAGTATGTTGTTAAGTCATCTGTGTTAATTATTTTGTGTTCGGGGAGGAGTTATAGATCACAATATCAGCGTGATCTTGCGTTATTTCCTTATCACTTCTCGTGTGCATTTGGCTGTAGTTTGCTGACCAGACTATTATTCTTATTGTAAAATCATGCAGTGTGTAACCTCCTGTCGCCGATCTATCGTGCAATGTGAACACAGCAGCAACTGAATGCTACCCCAGATAGTCGTGCAGTGTGAAAACAACGGTGATCCGATGACTTTGAAAATCATGCAGTGTGAACTCGGCATTAGCAGCATGAAAAACAAGAGTTTTATACAAATTCTGAACGGATTATATCTAGCAAAGAAAGCGCACAAAGAGTGCTCCCTTTATAATCACTAAGGAGCTGTAACTCCCTTCAGTTCATCACGATCTCACACACTTCTGTATAATCAGTGAAGCTCCACACTGCACAATCAAATCCTATTTACATCACGTGTTGATTATGCGGAGTATGACATGCGGAGCCCCACAAGGCTCAATTCTTGCACCGCTCTTGTTTAGCTTGTATATGCTCCCACTAAGTCAAATAATGAGAAAGAACCAAATTGCCTATCACAGCTATGCTGATGATACCGATTCTTTTTTTTTTTTAATTTCTTTTATGTAAAGCACTTTGAATTACCATTGTGTATGAAATGTGCTATATCAATAAACTTGCCTTGCCTTGCCTTGATTATAATGAGAGAACTACTGAGTTTAAACATGAGGATGTTTTATTAATCTTTTCCTTCTTTTTAGTTCCATTGCTTTAGCTAAATGGTGACAATGTTTTATTTATTGTTTTTTGTTGTTGTTGTTGTTGTTTTTTTAATAAATAATGGAAACATTTTTTTATATTTATTTGCTCCTTTTACATTTTGCATTTACCTGTACTTTTACTTTCAATACTTAAGTACGTTTAATATTAAAATTAAATCAAATAAAATACTTTTCATACTTGATGATCTCAGGTATGAATACATCTGAATGATAAAATGATCAGATTACCTCACTCTCAGGAGCTCATCTTATTGTGAGTCAATGTTCAGATCATGTCATCCTCTGTTCCCTGAGGACAGAAAAGTGGCAACATGACATGTACATGTCTGTATTGTTTTGTTATTTTTTGAAATTCTATTTAATCTCTTCCAGATTCTCTGTCTGTAATCTCACTGTTCAGTGTTGTGAGAGTTTGTCATCAGCTCTGAAATCCTCAAACTGTGTCCTGAGAGAGCTGGATCTGAGTAACAGTCACCTGCAGGACTCTGGTGTAAAGTTTATTTCTGATGGACTGAAGAGTCCAAACTGTCAGCTGCAGATACTGAGGTATTAAGAACATATAAGAGATCATTTACAGTCAACTGATCACAATGTTGATGTGTGTCTGCAGATGATCTGTCTGTGTGTGTCTAGATGATCTGACTGTGTGTGTCTGTAGATGATCTGACTGTGTGTGTCTGTAGATGATCTGACGGTGTGTGTCTGTAGATGATCTGACTGTGTGTCTGTAGATGATCTGACTGTGTGTGTCTGTGGATGATCTGAATGT